TGATTTGGACGAGTACTGTACAGGAGAGTCAGCCTTCTGTCCTGAAGATGAATATAAGATGAATGGACTCCCTTGCAATTATAATCAGGGCTACTGTTACAATGGACAATGTCCTACACATAAGGAGCACTGCAAGATGCTGTGGGGATCAGGTAATATTCTTACTGAGCCATTGCTCATACACTGCTTTATGGGTCCTCTTTTATCCTTTTACAAACATTTTAACACAAAATCTTTACAGCTTTTTTGTTAAATTAATGTTTTTTGTAAAATAAAGTTTCATACAGCAATTTAGGAAAATAAAAAATATATATAGGTGCATCTCAATAAATTAGAATGTCATGGAAAAGTTCATTTATTTCAGTAATTCAACTCAAATTGTGAAACTCGTGTATTAAATAAATTCAATGCACACAGACTGAAGTAATTTAAGTCTTTGGTTCTTTTAATTGTGATGATTTTGGCTCACATTTAACAAAAACCCACCAATTCACTATCTCAACAAATTAGAATACTTCATAAGACCAATAAAAAAAACATTTTTAGTGAATTGTTGGCCTTCTGGAAAGTATGTTCATTTACTGTACATGTACTCAATACTTGGTAGGGGCTCCTTTTGCTTTAATTACTGCCTCAATTCGGCGTGGCATGGAGGTGATCAGTTTGTGGCACTGCTGAGGTGGTATGGAAGCCCAGGTTTCTTTGACAGTGGCCTTCAGCTCATCTGCATTTTTTGGTCTCTTGTTTCTCATTTTCCTCTTGACAATACCCCATAGATTCTCTATGGGGTTCAGGTCTGGTGAGTTTGCTGGCCAGTCAAGCACACCAACACCATGGTCATTCAACCAACTTTTGGTACTTTTGGCAGTGTGGGCAGGTGCCAAATCCTGCTGGAAAATGAAATCAGCATCTTCAAAAAGCTGGTCAGCAGAAGGAAGCATGAAGTGCTCCAAAATTTCTTGGTAAACGGGTGCAGTGACGTTGGTTTTCAAAAAACACAATGGACCAACACCAGCAGATGACATTGCACCCCAAATCATCACAGACTGTGGAAACTTAACACTGGACTTCAAGCAACTTGGGCTATGAGCTTCTCCACCCTTCCTCCAGACTCTAGGACCTTGGTTTCCAAATGAAATACAAAACTTGATCTCATCTGAAAAGAGGACTTTGGACCACTGTGCAACAGTGCACATACTGTTTAATACTGCATTTTAACAGTTCTTCTTCTCCTTAGCCCAGGTAAGACGCCCCTGACGTTGTCTGTGGTTACTTTTCCACGACATTCTAATTTATTGAGATGCACCTGCATATTAATATTTTAACATCAATATCTTGTACATGTTTAGATGCTGAAGTGGATGCTGACACCTGCTTTCGTTATAATGTATTTGACAGAACCTCCAAGAGTGCTGAGTAAGTGTAACGTAACTTTTCTTTGATGGCTGAAGACTAAAAATAGTATTTTGTACATTGTTCTCTAATGACACAATGGTATTCTGAATCCTACAGGCACATGATGTGTGGGAAAATATACTGTTATGGTGGGAATCCTTTTCCCATAACCAATACAAAATCAACAGTAACTATTCATTCGAGAACCTGCTACATAGCTGTGGATTCCTCGCCCACAGATGACTTAGGGATGGTTCCAGCAGGCACCAAATGTGGCATTAATAAGGCAAGTAAATAATTAATGTATATTGCCTTACAAAAAGTGTATGAAACCTTTATTTAGATTTTTTTTTATAACCAACAGGTGTGTTACCACAACCTTTGCCAAGACATTAGTATATACGGCACAGAGGACTGCTCTGATAAATGCAACAATCGTGGGGTGTGTGATTTTCTTTTTTCATTTCCATTTTTCTATTACTTTTATAACAAATTTTATGTTTTTTCTCTCTTTTTTTAAGAAAAACATTATTGAATGCAATATTTGTCATTCTGTGATATTGTGAAAGTCATATTGCTTGTATGTGCTAAAACTATGCATCCTAGTATTTAATGTCCATTTTGAATTTGCATTTAAAAGCATAAAAACGTGTAAACATACTACTGATTTATATTTTAAAGGTGTGTAACCATGAGAGGAAGTGTCACTGTGATCCAGGCTGGGCACCACCCTATTGTGATGTTCAATTCTCAGAACGTCAAAAAAGTAAACCACATCCTTACTATATCTTTATAACTTCACGTAATTCAGTCATTGACCATACAAAACTAATTCTGAGCCATGTCAAATGTGTACCTTTACAGTGAGAAAAGAATCTGTGATAATTGGTGTGACTGCATCTGTAGTCGTTCTTGGATTGATCATTATTATTGGAGCACTTGTGTGTCACAGGAACAAAATAACAGAAGTTAGAAAGAAAAGGTAGGATCTGTTATGCAGCTGACAATCATGAACTATCAATTTCTGTTGTCATTTCAATTACTGTTCTATTAATGAAATACATTCTATTCGAAAAAAGGTCTTTGAAGGACATCCACACTTCCTCAGGCCAGTGTAATCCGGCATTCCAACCAGGAAGTGCAAAGAACAGCCCCAGATTCACACAATCACGCATAAGTCAACCAACTTTCCTTGAGTCATCCACTACTCTGGCCTGCACACCTCTCTATTCTCCAGCTACACCCTCTAGACCAGCACCAATGGTAAAGTCATTAATTTAGTCTTGAAATGGGCTGTTCAATTTGTGCTTATATTAAAAGTCCATTTTAGGATCAAAGACTTAATCTTTCTACCACTTATTTCTCACTATGCACAGCCTCCAAAGGATGCACCACAAACTAGGACAGAACAGGTAGTTTATCCTCTCTAAAAATGCATGTAATTATTTCAATCTAAAACTGTTTTAACACAAATAAAAATGTATGTCCATATTCTATTAGATTGTGAAGCCTTCTGTCCCACCTCCTGGTATTTCCAGAAACATTCATCCTGTTCAGGTGAGGCACAGAGGATCTTAAAATGCACTACTACCATTCATAAATAAATACTTTATTCAGCAAGGATGCATTAAATTGATCAAAAGAGACAGTATAAAGACATTTATAATATCATAAATGAATTTTCTATTCATCCTGAAAAAAACACATGATTTCCACCAAAATATTAAGCAGCACAAAAGTTTTGAAAACAGATAATAATAAGAAATGTTTCTTGAGCACTAAATCAGCATTAGTTCTTGATTTCTGTAGATTGATAGCAGACTTATTTCTGAAGGATCATCACAGGATTAAATTACCTTTTCAAATATATTTAAATAGGAAACAGTTGATTTAATTTGTAGTAATATTTCACAATATAATACTTTTTACTGCATTTTATCAAATAAATGCAGCCTATGTTGAGTACAACAGATTTCTACAAAATGTACCAATCCCAAACTTTTGAATGAGAATATACTGTATAATTAGGTATAATTTTCATTTTAATGTTGGTTACTTTTAATGACTCTAAGCTTATTACAGAGGTGACATAAAACAGAGGTGACTTGAAAATTCAGTGAGACTAAAGAGCATTGTGTCATTTCTTATGTCTAAATTTTGTTTCAGGCAAATCCCCTACTTCCACCAACTAAACCACTTCCTCCATCAAGACCATTGCCACCACTGGCATCTAAACCTGTAAGAGGCAATTGTTTACTTGAATAATTTAGTCAACAGAAAGCACACCATCTCACATAAATGCCATTCAATACTATCAACCATTCTTTGTATGCACTGATAGGTGACAAAATCAAAACCACCTCCAGTGCCTCCTGTGAAGCCCACTGGGATGCAGCCAGCATTCACTCCACCTCAGGTGTTGTAAGGTTTTATTGCTTTGCATTCAGCAGTTCACATATAAACTATAAAATACACTGTCAATTCTCTGAAAAATGACATTGTTAATGCTAATTTATTCAAACTGCTTGACAGTCTAGTTGTGTGAATAAATGTTGGTGTTTTAAAAGCTCTTTTGCATTTACTGTAGGTAATCCAGAAAGTTGCACTGAAACCTCCTGCTAAGCCCAGATGATCTGGAACAATATGAGTTACTCTTAATCATTGGGAGCTTCAGAAGAACCTTGGTTAACAAAACACTGGCAGCAGTTTACGAGCTGAACAAAGCTTGTTGTTTTTTTGTGGTATAGCTCTGAATAACAAGATGAAGTTAAGGAGAAGGTAAAACAGAATGAAAGATTTGCACTGTAGGAATCGCTTTATACTTTCGGTACTACTTGTTTGTAATTTCTTTTATTGTAGTTTGGCTTTCTTTTTCTGTTTATTTATTTTATATTTTAATTTTAAAGAATGTTATTTGCAACTGTTTACAGTCCATTCAGATTGTGTCTCTATGGAAGTCTACAGAGTTCCTCCTTTAAAGTCCACATCACATTGTTGCCTAAGTGGGGGGTCAAAGGGTCTCTCTTTGTTTTTTTGCAGTGTATTATGGTGCATTCATTCTTGTTTATGCAGCTTTTATGTATTTGCAATTTTATATCTTGTAATTGAGATTTAATTTTTCATTATTTTGTGTAGAATTTCTTGTTATTTACCTTTTGAAATTTCAAGAGGGGACCTGTAAAAAGGCTTGTGCCATATGGCCTCTCTGAAGCATAATCCGACCTTACTTTAGTCATTTGCCTTATTTACAAGTTTCTTACATCTTCTTTGTTGTCTGGTTGTGATCCTTGTGGTTTTTGCACTCAGACAAAGGCAAACATTTTTTTGCCCAGCAAATATTTAAATTCAAAACGTGCAATGATCTCAGCTGGTCTGATTTTACTCTTTAAATATGAGAATGTTTTTTTTTTTAACTATAATAAAGTTTTTCACATTTCTCTTTTAATCAGTTTATTTGGTTTATGCCCATATATTTGAATCGCCGTCACACGTGTATGACCTCCACAGCGCCCTGTATTTTCGTTGCCTAGTAACGATTCAAACACTCAATACTAATGCTTGTACCGTTGAGATAGTTGCGGGTTTTAGTCACGCAGAAGCTTGTTTCAAATGATGGACGGGCCTAAACAATTAGACGAAGAAACTTTGCAAGACCTCTACGCGTGGATAGACAAGATACCACTCTCCAGACCCAAACGGAATATAACAAGAGATTTTAGCGATGGAGGTATTTAATTCCTACAAGAAACAATCAAAACCGCTAGCTAATTAACTATTCATTATATTTGTTGACCTTTTTAGCAGTGTTGCCCTGCATTTGAGTTATATGAAAGTAAATATCCTAAATACTTTATAATTGTAATATAATATTATACTTAGTATAGTATGCCATTCAAAACCATAATATAATTAGCTATATAACATTTTACTAAGTTCAGTGTTGTCATTGAGTATTTTAACGATTTCCATAAGCAGTTATGACTGCAGAGGTAGTGAAGCATTTCTTCCCTAAGCTGGTGGAGCTGCACAATTACACGGCCGCGCATTCCGCGCAACAGAAGCAGAGTAACTGGAGCACCCTGAACAGGCAAGTATATTTATTTGTTCTCCACGCAGACAGTAATGCAAACACCGCACTGCTTATCTGACCCCCTCGTGTCGCTTGATACATTCCCCGGGGGATTGCAGGAATGTGACATTACACCTCAGCAACAACACTGGGATCTCCAGCTGAACTGTTAACACTGGTTGGGTCTAAAAATCTAGTGAGTTGTCTACCTAGACAGCATATGTAGAGCAGTGGGGGAAATAGACAGCAGTTTTCTACCAAATAAACATCTTTTATGTTTGTCTAGAATTGAACAACACACAAGTGCATGATGTTCTCGTTTCAGAAAAGTTTTCTCCAAGCTGAACTTCCATATACCTGAAGAGACGGTGAAGAATATTGTACTCAGCACAGCAGGCTACATCGAACCAGTCCTTTGCTCTCTGAGAGAGAAGATACAGGAGAAACGGGCAGGAAAACAATTAGATGGCACACTGGTGGGTCTGTGTATTTGCATTTGCATTGCTACAGCATCTTTCTTTCGATATCATTACCTCTTTCCTTATAATGGTTGAATGATCAGTAATTTAACCCTGCCTTATTCTTTTTTACAGGACTTGGAATATTACAGCACTACAACTGGACAGTCGAGATCAGGTAAATACTGTAAAACATGGAAATGTGGATTTAGGTTCCCATTGGTTATAAGCTACAGTAGGGCAGTGAAGGTCATCTTGAGGAGATATGACAAGGAGACCATTGCCCAGTAGTGGATGGGGGAGGGCCTGCCAAGGACCCCCTGGGGTGTGGTGTGCTTTGGTAGAAGACACTGACTCTGGCTGTGAGTCTAGGTTCATTAAGACTGTTTTTATGAAACAGTCCCTCTGCAATTCAATGTATTTTAGTGTTCTGTAAGTTAAAGGGATAGTTCTCCAAAAATGAAATAGTTTAATCACCCTAATAATGTTCCATTAGACTTTGGATAGTTCTGTAAACCGAATTAAAATATTTTTAATGAAACTTAACTGGTTTCTGTTCTTCCATTGAAAGTTGAGGTCACCAAACTCCAAAAAGGTAATAAAGGCATCATAAAACAAATCCTTGTCTTGTGAAGAGATGTGATCGATTCATATGGATTCATTTTACAACACCTTTTTGGATCTTCTAAGTTTTGGTGACCTGGACTTTTAAATGGAGGGAGAGAAACTAAAGCATTCTACCACAAAACATATTTTACAAACGTTAAATCAACATATTATTTTCTGTGAGCGAGTGAACAGGGTGATTTTCACATCATTTTGTAGCAAAAACTCTAGTCTACCACATCCAGTTCTCAAAAGTCTTGTGAACAAATATTCTGTATGTGTTTATGGCCTTATTTCAGTGACTTAAAAATGTTAGTTTTTCCACTAACCACGCATAAACGTTGTTTTCTCTAAAACACAAACATGTACAATGTTTATGCATGGTTAGTGAAAAACTAATTTGTAAGTCATTAAAAATCACCGACAAATGCCCGACATCGGAGGCAAATCGGTGCTCGTTCAGTGTAACCTCCTTTCGCCGATCCATCGTGCAATGTGAACACAGCAGCAACTGAATGCTACCCCAGATAGTCACGCAGTGTGAAAACAACGGCGATCCGACGAGTTTGAAAATCGTGCAGTGTGAACTCGGCATTAGGTATAATGAGTTAAGACGGGAAAACTGGACATCGCGTATGTTTCATATGTATTACTTTAACAGAGAATATTTGTTTTGGACGTGACTTAGTTAATTTAAAGGTAGACATTTCATGCTTTCTATACATGTATTTCTCATGTCTTTGAGGCAAGTATTCGCTGAGATTCAGGCTGTTTTATTTACGTGTCTGTGAAGAGAGGTGACAGACCGAGACGGCGGAGAACGCACCGTTTATTGTTTTTTATTTTTTTCAAAAACACATTGTTTTGTTATTATGACTATACACAAATAAAAGTAGACCCTTTGCAGTTTCAAACGATACCGTATTCTTATCGGTACAATCAAAACTGATAAAGTATTTTAGTTCTTTTCGCGGTCATAAAGAAAATACGAGACAGACTGCACCAGTGTGTGCCACTTTATAACGCTTGAGCAATTGAAGTTTGCTTGGATGTCAGTCGCGGTGGTTGTGACTGAGTGTGTTCATCGGTGGGCCTTTTGGCCATGCATTCATCATAGATTTGTCTGTGATACTTCTGCAGGTGCTGATACAGGTTGGTTGTGTTGCCTCGCGAGGTCGACACAGACGTTCGGCAGGTTTTACAAAGTACTTGCCTTTGAAGTACATCAGAACGTCGAAATCCAAAATAATTCCAAACATATGCGGTGCTTTTTTGTTTAGGTACCAAGTTGTCTGCAGGACTTTGCTCTTCTGCAGACACACTTTGTTGGGAAGTTGATCTGCGCCTCCCGCTCGCGCTTATCTTTTCCAAATGGCGTTATTTGATGGTTCAGTCAGCACGTGCAGTGTTAAAATGCCCCCTATTGGTTAAACTATGCATCAAAGTAAAATGCGCATGAAGGAAACTGTCAAAAACTACGTAGATGCTTGTTACATATTTGATAGTCCTTCATCGAAATAATCGCAGCTCTTGCGATTTGAAAACCGCACCCATTCAAATCGCGATTTCGGTTTACAAACGATTAATCGTGCAGGCCTAGGTTTGTGGTCATAAATAGTCTGACTGTTACAATATTAAGAAAACACAGCCCTTGCCTAACTGTAAACCAAACAAGATTAGCAAGTTACTGTAAGTGTCGCAAGTACGAAGATGCGTGTTTTGTGATGGTCATGTCATGTGTCTGTGAGGCTTTGTGTGCTCAGACCTTCTGGTTAGTTCACCCAAAAACATTACTGTTATCATTTACACACTTTCATTCTGTATGAGTTTATTTCTTCTGTGGGACACCAAAGAAGATATTTTAAAGAAACTGCTTTTGCCCATACAGTAAACAAAACCCCACTGGACTGCACTAAATTTCATTGTATGGCTTCGTCCAAAAGCTTAGGCAGCTGACTTTTTACCTTGCTGCCCTATAAGGCAATGACTTTGCAGGCAATGTTTGCGAATAAAGGTACCTTCTGAGGCAGCGTAAAGGTTTAATAATCTGCAGCAAAATAAAAAGCTTTTGGAAAAAGTTGGTCAAATTTACTTTTCCTCTATGTATATTAAAATGGACTAACAAAATGGTCAGCTGTGTTTGGAAATAGGGCAAATGCACTGCATTATCAGCACTCTTAACATTACATAGAAGGGGCCAGATAGGTCAACTCTCCAAATCCCACACCTCATCATCATGGCGTCTTAGTTGAGACATCATCTGGTTTCAGGTCCAACTCCCTCTTTTCATGATAGAAAAGGTCCTGCGTCCATCAGCTCCATTCACTAGATAGCCCTTATCACTTCCAACAGGCTCAAAGCGTGTGGCTAAAAGCCCTTTTCGTCCACAGAAAACTCAAGCAAACAGTAGATTATTAAGTCTATTATTAGACCAGAGAGATTGTTTCTGATATATCATATTATCGAAGTGCAGACCATTTCTATTAAAGAAACAGGAGTCCTGTGCTTTTTCCTGTAGATGTTGTTCAATTTTAACTTGTTATTTTATCTTTAATGGGATGTTTATAAGGTGAAGCACAGCTGGTGTTGATGATTCAGAGCTTAGAGCCAAATAAAACTCTCCCGCTCCATAGTTATAGTCTGGTGCCCTGTCAATGTGTCTTTTTGACCTTATTTTGTTTAATGGGTTCAAATGGAGTCTAATTAGTTTAGCCTTCCTGGTTAAGCAGTTCTCATGAGCTTAAAAATCTTAAAGTATGGGGGAGTACCACTCAGCTAGAGGAAATTGATTCAGGGTATCGTGAGAGTAAAGTCTCAGTGCCTGAATTTAGCCTGGAGGGATCCTGAATCCGCTGTCTATGCCAAGACCCGGCACCTCAGTTTTAGGCTGTCCCCGAAGACACATTTGTACAACACATTTCCCTTTGTTAAATATAAAATGTTTAAAAGAAAGATGTTTATTTTTTTTTTTTAAATATTTCTTAATCCCGTTCTCTGTTTTCTCTGAAGCCCCTCATACCAATCCAGCCACTGTGAAGAAGAAAGACAAAGTAAGGTATGAGTGATAAACTGTGATGTGAAAAGGACTTTCTGAGGTTCATGAAGTCTTTCATGTAGACCTAAAAATACACATTTATAATGGACTTATTGGAAATCTTGTGTAGTGCTGCTGCAGCCTTGAGACCAAATGTGGATCCAGGTGTCCGTTTGCTCTTGGAGGAAAAGGAGCAAGTAATTTTGGCTTTACAGGAGACTGTAGAGGTAAGGTTTTGATGTTAAAATGCTTTCTCCTTTTCCAGTTTAATATGCAGAGACAAGTTTATTGGTTGAGTTCCCAGAAAAGTGTAAGCACTGTTGCTATCTGGTGTTTTCAGCATTGCAATGCAAACTGTATTCAAAGTCTTTTTTTTTTTTTTTTGCAATTTCGAAACACTGCACCTTTAAAGTTGGCATGAAATTAAATCTGTTTTCTAAATGCATGTTATTGATGTTATTGTGCAAAATACATCAATGCATGTTATTTTGTATTATTTTATAATACAATAATCATTTTATAGTAAAATAAAAATATCATCATTCAATGTTTTTGTGAAATGACCTCTCTCTCCTGATGTATGCTGGGTTTCTCCAGTCATTTAGTCCACTTAAATCCCCTGCAAGCTTGCATTCATCTACATCTACAACTTATGAATAGTACCATGTCCCCGTCCTACATTTTCTTTCTTACAGTGCATTAGACTTGCATGTCATCACAATGACAAAGACTTGCATCACAATACAGAAGAAAAGATCTGTTTAATTGTGACTGTAATGTACATAAGAATTAGTATAAATTCATTTGAAATCTTTATTTCTTGCATAAGATCTTTGAAAAAGGCAGATATTCTTTAAAAATGTTAAATCTTATGACTTGCAAATCGCAAAAACTAATCAGTTTCAGCACTTTTTGCATACAATGCAAAAGGAAATTTGTCTTTCCTGTGCTGTTCTCCTGGCAAGTGGTCAAGGGCTGCAGATCACAAGTTCTTTGACATGCTTCCTGTCACTGTTGCAAATGTGGTTAAAAAGAAATTGCAAGATTGTTAAATGAGTCATTATGAGTTCAGCAGCTGTGATATTTGTCACTTGACAGTTAGTGAGACAGTTTTAAGGTTGCAGCAACACATTTAAATGCTTGAATATTAATAATTTCAACTTTTTGCATTTCAATTAAAAAAAGATATTCAGTAACTGCTCTATTTTATGAAAAAAATTATCAATTTATGCATCAAATAGTCATCAAAAATTCTATGGAAGGAAATGACAATTCTACAGAATGATTGTGACAGTAAACTTCCATTTGTTCTTTTGTGACGCTGTAAAGCCTTTGGTTTGCAGGCATTATATCATAAACCTACAACCGCTGTTGAATATCATGTACATTAAATGTTTTTTCTTTGCTCCAGATTTTACAGATTAAGGTAGACCGATTGCAGCATCTTGTGAATCTTAAGGATCTACGCATCGAGGACTTGACAAAGCACTTAGAGCGATATAAGGCACACAACTCGTGATCTCATTATTAACATCTAGATCCACCATCAGGAATTTGATTTCAGGAAAAGCATACTATATGCATACTTAAGACTCATAATAAACTGTTACAGAGATATGAAATCATCTCATTTTCCTCACCTGTTTTCTGACCTGTGATTGTTAGAGCACTCAGAATAGAAGCACTGATGTCAATAACTAGCATATTGTATAAGCTGAGACCATCTACAGGAGTTTATGTACACTGGAGCCCACCAAACTTTGGCAGTAAAGTCTTTATTCCTGGGGAGATTTCAACAATTCTATGGATGATTTAGTTTACTCTGAACAGTAACTGCAATTACTATGATAGTGTTTCCATTTCATGTAGAATTATTGAACATTATTTATAGTCACTATGATGTGACAGTATTGTGATTTTTAAAATCTTAGAACATCATTTTCTAGAGCTTTCCAGTAGATTCAGTTTAAAAAATGAATTTACTGTTAATTGTACTGTTATCTGAGGTCCACTTATAATGTTATCAAGATTTTTACACCAAAAAAAAAAAAAAAAAAGTAATTTAGAAGTCATTGGCTATTCTCTGTCCTGGTTTTAACCCCTCTCATCAGAACGCTCTGTTTGAATAGGCATGGCGGATTGAAGACTGCCCACTGCTATGATTGGCTAACAGTTGTGTATTTTTGACAGCCTACATCCTTCATAGATGGACGCTGCTGTGATTTAGGTTAAAAATGCATAAATACTCAGTACATATCAAACGATCTGTAATAATAGACAAAGCAAAAGTGATCACATAATGAAAACAGTTGCACTTGAGTGGTGCGACATCGGATCCAATATAGTTGGCACAGCATTGTCTTCTAGTTTCAATCGTTCTGATAATCTTGCGTTGAATTGTGCCTTGTTTGTAAATGAATCCACAGTAAAAATGAAGTAAACAGAGGACCAAGTTCTTACTGATGTGGTCTGGCACTTCATTAAATATAAAGTTCATCAAATAAAGTTTATCGTTTGGTTTCTGCGTAGACCTGCATTTGTCTCTCTCGTTATCTACACTACATGTGTGAATCGGTGGGCGGGGCTAAACAAGCAGTGATGTAGAAGCAGGCGTTTATCTACTTCGGATGTGGTGTTTAGCCACATATTACATCATAAAGTGTCACATTCCAAAACCTGTCGTTTTGGCAGATTGGTTTCAGTATAAGCTGTTTTTAGACTAACGAGAAAGTTTTGAGTTCAATGTGTGCAGGGGTACTAACACATCACATTCTCTGTATTGGGGGGATATAAACAGCTCCCTGTTTTCACCACAAGTTATTCTTTATCATAAAGTCATCAAAGGGGAGACCTGTAATTTGGGGCTTTCCTTCAACAATGCAGATATGGCTCCAGCAGAGTTGCAGCCACTCATCCTGTCTCTGCTCTTTTGGCCAGAGGAGTTCACAAAGCCATTTTTGGAACAGTATTTGCAATCACTTTATGTCTCTCCCGTGAGGCATGTGTTTATGCTAACATCAACCCCATGTGGAAACCTCAGACCAAATGTAAACATTTCTGAAGTAAAGTTGAGAACGGTAAAAAGCTTTCTCTGTCTATATGTAAGAGATTATTATGAATTATGAATGATTTCTTATGATTGGTTGAATATATATCCTGAAAGAGATATGTTTCATATGGGAAATAATTATAAGAAGCTGATACTCCTGAGTATTTCACATGTGTCCATAAAGTTCTCAGAGCTCCCTGATGACTCAAGCTGAGATCTTGGAAAGAGACCAGCAGAACTTGGGGGTTGGATCTTTGGGTGGTAAAGCAGCATTAAAGCTCTCTGAGTCACAATGAATTACAGTCAAAAGCATGCCTGAGTCCCTCAGCATGCAGACAACATATGAAGCACACTGTGAGAACGTCTGGAACGGGAGTTGTTCTCATAAAGTGAGAATGAGTGTGGTACTCCCTCTGGTCTATAACAAATGTTTCATTTTAAAAGGGGTCATATGATGCGATTTCAAGTTTTCCGATTTCAAGTTTTCCTTTCTCTTTGGAGTGTTACAAGCTGATTGTGCATAGATAAGATCCCTGAAGTTGCTAAAGTCTCAAAACCAAAGAGATATTCTTTATCAAAGTTAAGACTCTGCCACGCCCCCCTAAAAT